AAATTCAAGCCTCAAGTTGCAATACTTAAGGATGCTGGGTAGAATATTAAATGATCCTGCAAGTATTAAAAGACGATGGAAAGAGTATACAGAGTCGTTATATCAAAAGGAATTGGCAGACATAGAAGAATTTAATGAAACAACACATGAGCAAGAAAGAGCCTGTGGTGATGAAGGAAGAAGTTCAAATTGTTCTGAAAGAACTGGCTAGGAATAAGGCCCCAGGAATTGATGATATACCAAATGATGTATTTCAACAGATGCTGCCCTAGATGTGCTCACCAAGTTGTACCAAGAAAATCTGGAGGACAACCACTTGGCCAATTGACTGGAAGAGATCTACATTTGTTCCCATTCCAAAGAAAGGTGACCCCACAGAGTGTGGAAAATATCGAACAATATCATTACTATCACATGCAAGCAAGATTCCTTAGAGGTAAAGATGGTTAAAACCTGGTCTCTCATACTCTGGGCATATTGTCAGGAGAGGCTAGTTCTTCTGGGAGGGTAGAAAATGAGAAGAACTGACAAGTGACTGTAACTGTGAGAACGGACCTCAGCATATCAGAGATGGTGAAGGATAGTGCAGGATACAGGAACATTGAAATCTGTTGTTCTTGGGGTTGCTCTGAGTAGCAGCCAACTCTGCAGATCCCAACAACAAGACCAGAAGAACTGGGTGGTGCCGGGCTACCACTGCAGACTGTTCTAGAGAGATCATAGTAGAGTCTTGGACAGGAAGAAAGGAGCAAAACCCAAAGTCACAAAATGAACAGGCTCAATAGTTTAGTAAAGACCAGGGGAACCCCCTGAGCCCATGGCCTACAGACACCTTTGGAGCCTGGAACCAACCTCACTCTTGTGGTTCAACTTTCGGGCAAATAAGAGACATACTGAACCATTCAGCAGGAAAGTAATCATGGTTCAGAACAGGAAGCACATAAAATGGGAAGGGCAGTGCAGAAGGCAGGAAGAGGAAGGTTAGCAGGATGAATGGCAAACAAGGGGATCACAAGACAGGAGAAAAGAGAAGAGTGCTGTTACAATGTGGGGGCTGTAATATCGTAAAACAAAATCGTGTGCATGAGTGAACAGAACAACAATTGTGCTGTAAACCTTCATTCAAAAAACCCTTCATTTCAGAGGAGCTCTGGTGGCCTAGTGGCAAGGAGCTGCAACTACAATCCCAGAGGTGACAGGTTCAAATCCACAAGATGCTCTGCCGGGAAAAGGAGGGACAATCTCCTCCTGTACCAGGAAGATCCGATTTGACAGTACACACACACACACAAAATAATAATAATAAAAACAAACAAAGAAAAAAGAAACCTTCATTTCAAAGTAGAAATTTTAAAAAAGAAAAAGGAAAATGACCAAAACCTTAAACGCTCCTCAGGGCTCCTCTGCGAGCTTCCCACGTGACCTACAGCCTCTGGGTCTCCGGGGTCCTGCGGGTCAGGGCTGACTGCAGGTCAGTGGGTGTGCGGTTTACTCGCGTCCACATTCTGCACTTACCACCGCAGGATTGAGTAAGGCGCCGTCCACGGTGCCGTCCATGGCCTTTCTCCTCAAGTCGCCAGCATTTCTGACATCTTTAAATAAAAGCAGGGTCACCGTGCAGTCGGGAAACAGGTCCAGCCGATGTGTCAACTGCATTTCACAGACAAGCAGGAGTCTGCAGTCCAAAACCAGACAGACCAACACATGTCAGCGAGAAGGTGCAACTTCCACGCAGTTCACGACCAGGGATCCTCGCCAGCACCTGATCAAAGGAATGCTGGTAACAAACGCATCTACCGAGCCTGAAAGCTCCGGCCCGAAGCGCGGCGGGCACTTTGCAGCCTGTCCTCCTGCCGGCTCCCGGGGACGCGCCTGGCCCCTCACCTGCGTGGTTTTCTTCCCCAAGGCCCAGGTATGCCGGCAGCACCCCCAGACACGCCCGGGGGCGGGGTGTCGGACCGCGGGGACACCCCGCTGTGGGCCCGCATTCCACCTTCGTCTCTAGATTTCTGATCTTATTATTTATTAATACAGCATCTAGAAACAAAGGTGCAGGGTTCGAATCCACCGGGCTGCTCCTCGGGGCAAAGACGGGAGATTTACAGCCTCTGAAAGCTCTGGGTCGGCTCCGACTCAACAAGGTTATGAGAATAAACTACCTCACTCACATCTATAAAGTAGGCCCAGCTCTCCCTCCTCAAGTGGAATGAACCACGCGCTTACTGAACTATGTACAGCCGAGCGGCGGGCTTCAATCAGCCCCTTCCCGACCCGCACCAGCAACTTCCCGAGCGCCCCGCCCCCGGCAGCGGAAGCTCACCACCCGGCTTCCGGTCCTCTTCAGAGGCGCTCCCCGCGGAAACCAACACCCCGACTCCCGGAGGTTCCGGCGCAGTTGTGCCTTGCCCGCGTTTCCCCCCGGCTGGTTTCCGGTCGCACAGCGCCCGGGTCGCTGTCATTGTTTTCACCCCCAGATCTAGTTGGACGGGAGACTGACTTTCCTTCCACCAGCCGCTCTGGTGGTCTAGAGGTGAGGAGTTGCGCTTCCAAGAGAAAGGCACGTGGCGGCTGAGCCCTCCCGTGCAGCTTACTGCCTCTGAAAACCTGCTGGAGTCAGCTGTGAGGGTCAGTGGGCCAAACACCAGCATTGCCTGCCCCTGGGCCCAGCGTGAGTCCTGTCTGCAGACGCACCCGCTAGCCAGGGCCCAGCAGTCCTTCTCCAGCACGGGAATCCGGAAATCTTCCTGTTTTATTCTTGTGCTATTGTTGCAGCACAATTTTTAAATTGACGACCGTGCTTAGAAACACATTTGCCGTCATTTGCAGCAACGTGTTAAGGGCCAGTTCACTAGATAAAATAATACATTATCAAGGAGCTTTCCCTAATTTCACACCTACGTGTCTTCAATGACACTTGTCCTCATCTCTCTGTATGAGGCTCCCTGGTAGCATAACGTGTGTAACGTGTCTGACTGCTAACATAAAGGTTGGCAGCTTGAATCCAGCAGTTCCTATCTGGACAAAGACTCCTATAGACGTAGAGTCTCAGAAACCCAGTGTAAGCCTTAGATTCCATCATCTCGACTACATCTCATAGAGACCCTATAAACAGGTCTACACCTTGCCCCTTCCAGCACCATCCTCATAATCTCTGAGATGCTTGAGGCCATTGTTAGAATCACTGTATCAATTCATCTTGTTGGGGGATCATCCTCTCTTTTGCTGACCCTCAGACCCCCAGTGGAAGATCACTATTAGTAAAAATCTATTTGATTGATGGCAGTGTGTTTGGCTTGGAGCATATACAAAACCCACTGCCCTCCACACTCAGACTCACTGTCGTGGAACCCAAGTCCACTCATCGCTGAGCTGGATTCCTTACGTTCTGATGGCCCAGTCTGAGAAGCCACAAAACCTCCAACCGTTGTTGTCCAGTCAACTCTAAATCTTGGTGAAGCTCCCTAAGGTTTTTGTGGCTGTGAATCCTGATGGGAGGTGACTGTATGCCACCGACTGGTTGGTGGACGTGAGCTGCTGACCTTTTCATCAGCAAGGTTCACCCTTCCATTCCCCTGCTGGTATTATCCTCTGCCATTACTTCAGGTATCAGCTGTGGGTGGATGACTTCCACTGAGTCCCACATGCTTACTGAACGTTACCAGGCGTCACACTAGCATCTACTCTACAAACTGTCATAAAAAGCAACACATTCTTGTCAGTACCCACACAAACTCCTTCATGGCACAACTTCCAGGGCCTCCTCGCACATCTGCATCTCTGGACCACCTGTGAAAACCTAATGCAGGATGCTGCACATGCATGTGCCATTATAGTTACACTAGCTGACCACGTAGTGGGCTTTCTGGAAGGATCTCAAAGACCCTAGGCCTGACTCACTTCTTAAACCCTAGAATTGACATTCTAGCCTGACTCTGACATGCCCCAGCTGCAAGCCTCCCCGTCCTCAGTCACCTGTCACGAAGCTGGAGGAGGGGACTCCTCTCCAGTGCTGCCTCCTAGCTGGGAAGCCCCTTGGCATTAACTGGGTGAGGAGCAATGAGAGTTCATAGTCTATTCAGATGGTGATGGTTCTGCCCCACACATAGTATGGAGCATGGGAGGATCTTGCTGCCTTCCGTCCACCTGTCAGTATAGCACGGGACCCACGGGTCACACAACTGGACACACTTCAGGCAGTTATATGACCACTTTATCAGATGAATGCTGGAAGAGGGGACTTGGGGTCTTCTGTAAACATTATCAGCCCAGGAAACTCTGTAGCCCATTCCACGTTGTCCTGGAGGGCTGAGGAGGAGCCACTGGTTGGTGTGACAGTAACCCTCTTAAGGGGTCAGGTCACCAGGTCATCTCTCTCATGGACCCATATGGTGAGTCATAAACCTCCAACCTTTCCAATTCCACCACCGACATACTGTTAAAGACCCTATAGCTTCAGCTAGGTCTTCTCAGCTAGGAAGAGAAAACCGCTGTTGAGTGGCCCCAACTCAGGGGGTGACCCTCAAGACTACTAAGAGGTTCCAATCCACCCCACCAACTGTCGTCTCTGCCCTCCCTAGCCCTCCATTTCACCAAACATGATGTCTTCTTGACCGGTCCCTGGTGATGCAATGTCCAAAACAAGATGGTCAGTCAAGTTTTCTCTTCTGTTAGGAGGCATCAAGTTTTCAAAGCTATTTTCCAGAAACAGAGAGGCAGGGATTCCTCCCTGGCCTTACCCTGAAACATGCAGGTATCTGAAATACCACGGCACAGCATCCAGCGTCACATAAACCACACAGCACAGCAAAGTAACAAAGCGGTGGATTCCTCGCTAAGTGGGAAAAGTAATTATGGGTCGGCCGGGAGAGATACACTTCTTGTTTCATTTTGATTGTTATAACATGTTCTATGCTGTTTAGGGAGAAGGAAGAGCAATCGGCCCCCATGCAGTTTACTGCCTCTGAAAATTCACTGGCGGGTCGGCTATGGGTTGGTGCTGACTCGATGGCACACAACATGCTGTTTAGGGCAACTTAAGCCCTGTCCTCTGACAGTCTCTACAGCTAGTCATATAACCCAAATGACTAGGCTCAACACTGAGCTCAAGACTCCAAGGGTCCATTTGCAGCATTTCCTGAAACGTCATTCTGAGCCAGTTCTGAGGCCCTGACCAGAAGCCAGCCTGTTCCCCATCTTGAGCAGGTGACTGAGCCCACTCTCAACAATCTCCTCGAGAGTTTGGAGAATTACTCAAAACCCTCAGCACCCAGAAAGCTCACCAAACCCACCTAACCCCACTCGCCTGCCATAGGTAAGCTCTCTCCTACAATCCCGGCATGCTGCTACCTTGTTCTCAGGTGTCATCGTGTGGCCCTGTCTCACACTGTGGGACCTCCCTGCCTCTGAACACTGTAACCTTAAGAAAGCTAATCAGTTTTTATGGCTTCGTTCTCACATCACAGCTTTCTTACCTTCTCCTGAAACTACCTGAACCTGGAACCAACCTAAACGTCCATTAAGAAATGAGTGGGTAACAGATTTTATATGTTCACACAATAGAATCGATTCAGTAGTAAGGAGGACTTTACCATTAACAAATATAATAACATATATGAATCTTGGGATAATTTTGCTGGATTAAAAACCAAACAAGCAAAAATAACCCAGCGTCTACTGTAGGACTCCATCCATATACATAACTAGTTTACAGTAGTAGAGAGCAAATTAGTAGTCTATTGAGAAAGGGGAATAGAGGTAGGAAAAGAGGATTAAAAAGAGGCACAAACTTTTGGGGTGCTGAGTATGGTCTGTTTTGATAGTGATAATGGTGTCACATATGTACACATCTGCCAAACGGTCAAACTGTGTACTTTTAAAAAAAAAATGTAGTTTACAGATACCAATCAAGTGTTTTAAGAAAACAAAACCCCACCCAATGAGATACCACAACTTCTGTATTAGAAGAACTAAAAGAAAACAAGTTATAAAAAGCCTCCCGACAAACCCAAACAACAAACACCCTGACAATGCTAAGTGCGGGCAAGGATCTGAGTAATGAGCACTCTCGCGCATTGCTGATGGGGGTGTAAAGTAGCCCACTGCATGAAGATGTTAAAAGGATCAGCACCAAGCTGGTTCCTACGAGGCAGAGCTTCAAGACGTCCCAAATGTGTAACATTCGAACGGCTACAACACCCCATCATGTCTAACACCAACCACTGCTCCATGGCACTGAGCTCAGACACCACCAAGGAAATGGCTCGCTCACCTGTTTGCGCAGGGCACCAGCAAATCCGAAATAAGCAGATCCAGCAGCAGTGTAGGGACCTCTGGTCTCAGGGATGATGAACTCAGCAGGGAGGTCAAACCACATTCTGCTGCTCACAGGCTGTGGATGCTGGCAACAGGCTGCTGGGTCATGTCCAGAGGACCGCAGGTAAGATGGTCAAGGCCCAGGTGCGGGAACCAGGGTGAGAGAGGGAATTTTGCTAGAACACTCATACGTATTGGATACAGATGTCATCTTCAAGTAAGACCACGCCCTTACTTGAGCAAGAAAGGACTGGGCCTGTGAGCCAAGCTTAGCCAGCAGAGTGGAGGCTGGTTCCCTTCTCCACACATCTTCACTCCAACACCCTTCATAGCAGCTGGTGGGCTCTCGGCACAGCCTTCCCCCTGCCCTGCACGGCTTGACATTTCCAGGAAGCGCTTATCTGTCTCAGAAAACTCACTGCCATCAAGCCATCTTACCCCGGGATTCAAGGTGTATCCCACCCCAATCCTTCCTCATTACGACTGAGTCACAGTCACAGAGGCCAGGACTTAAGAACCCATTCCACAGGGACAACTACAGCCAGGCAGCCAGATGACTGACTGTTCCACATACAGGCACCTGGACCCTGGCAGTTTCCTGTAAAGTTAAACAGAGCAACAGTCCCAGACTAAGGGACACAAAAATGTGTTCACACAAAAAGCTCATGTGTGGATGTTTCTAGCGGTTTCGTTCAAAACTGAAAAAGTCCAAGTCAAGCTTTTACGTGGTGAATGTAGTGGATCTGCTGACCTCGCTGACTGTGCCAATTCACCCAGACTGGTCAATATGGGAGGCTGCTCAGGAGACCTGCAGACACAGTGCAAAGCCAGCTTTCACAGTAGGTGCCAGCCCCACGCCCTCCCAGCCTCTCAGGGCGTGGGTTACCCTGTGCGGCAGCTGATGCAGACGATTGTCTGCACCCACTCTTCCTGTGCAGCAGAAGAGGGACCCCACTCCGTCAAGGCCCGGGGCACATACTGAAATGGAGCTGCCCAGGTGTCATCCAACACGTAAGCTTTGCGAAGCAAGGGCGTTCTGGTGGCAAAGTCCTCAGAGAGTGGCAATACTAACCCAAAAGTGGCACCTTGACCACCAGCTGCTCAGAGCGGGAACCCACTGGTTTGGAGGTTTGGCTGAGTCGATTCCCACTCAACAGTAATGAGGTCTTTTACTGAGCCGAGCACTTGGGCAGATGTTGACCTGTGCACAGGGCAGGAGGGAAGGATCCTCCAGCTGCTACGTAAGGTGTTCCGAGTGAAGACGTGCGGGCAAGGGAGCCAGGCCACACTCCTGTGCTGTCTAAGGGGTCAGGCTGGCTTCTCTGGTCCCAAGCATCAGCTCCCGATGGGCCATAAGGAAAGGTGACAAGCCATGCGGTCTGCCCTCTTCCTCAATACCCACCAGACAGAGTACTAGTCAGCAGTACAAGGGATAACTCACGCCTGTGGGTTATCATGGCATGAGCAAACCTCAAAAGCACTTGCAAATCAAAGAAATAAAATTCAGAAGGCTCCACGCTGAAGGATGCCACTTATCTGACGTACCAGAGAAAGTACAATGATAAAGACAAGAAAGAGGAGAAAACTCAGCAGATAGTGGTCAGGAGGTTCTGTGCGTGGAAGGAGCAGCTGACTACAAAGGAGCATGGGGGGACGTGAGAGGGAACGTAGGGGCGATGTTGGGGGGACATGTGTGTAGGGGTGGAACTATTCTCAAACTTGGCTGCAGTGATGGCTGTAAAACGCTAATCATTTCTCAAAACTCAAAAAACTATACATGTCAAGAGACGCTAGAGCATTCTAGATATTCCAAGCTACTGCTTAGTCTGTGCATCAGGCAGCCTGTATTGTTGTCACTGTTAGGTGCCATCTACTCAGCCATGACTCTTAACAATCCTTCATCATCATCATCATCATCATCTCTAAAACACCAGAGCCCACTGTTTGTTTTTTCTTTCTTGTCAATCGGATCCGACTGGCCCAGGAGATGGCCCATCCTTCTCCAGCGGATCATCGGTGGATTAGAACCTCGAGCCTTCAGGATTTCAGCGCAGCTTCTTGCCACTAGGCCACCAGAGCTCCGTTTAGAGCTGTTACAGTCATTTTGTCAATCCTTCTGGTTGGGGGTCTTCCTCTCTTTCTCTGACCTTCCTGACAACATGCCCAAAGAGACCACGTTTCATCATCCTGACCTTTAAGGAGCACCCTGGTTATAAACGTGTTCAAGTTACTGAAAACAGTAAGCTTGTCAGACAAACATTATAATGTAACGTAATATACTCTACACATGTATACTATAACATAAAGACCCACCAGCCTAGGGTACAGCTGACTCCCACGCCCTTCCTGTGCCAGAGGGCAATTCTGACCATTCAGTGAAAGACAGCTGGTAAAGCCCATGACAGATTGCCAGAGGAAGCTACGACAGCGGACAGCAAAAATGTCACAACATTTTACAATGACTGGATTCTAAAGAGATTGTCTCCAAGGTCATTTTAAGGGAAATAATTCCATTAACAACTAGATCAATAATAGAAGATGATGAAATACTTCATTTTTGTACCTACACTAAAATACACAAATCTAATCAGAAGATTATCCATAGAAAGTAAAATACAATTTAAAAAAATAATTTGTAAGGAGATTCTTTATTTTCAGTCCCAAAATATTTCCTTAAAAACCATTAAGACTGGAATGATGGATTTTTCCTCTTTACTGCTGCAATTTCTGCAAATTCATTAGCAAAGAGGTAAAATATCAATAAAAACTTCCCTCACTCTTTCCACGTGAAGGAGCAATAAAGTAGATCATACGGGACCTCTGATGACCCGTTCAGGTCAGCTGTGATCTCCAGAGCTCACTCGGCCGTCCCCCGCAGTCAGTAATACCGCCGCCTGTGAGGCTGGTAAGAAGGGAACCCCTGACCCTCGATCGCTGGGCCGCTGTATGGCTTAACGTTCCAGGAGTAGCGCCTCTGTGAATAGTCCTGTCCAGCGGGACCGGGAGGAGGAATAAGGCCTCTCCGATGAACATTCGGATTCCGTGAAAAATGCCTGAGAACAAAACATGAACAATAAACTGTTATGATTAATACAGGTTCACAGCGGTTCAAATCTACCAGCTGCTCCGAGGGATAACAATGGGCACTCTCCTCCTTTCAAATTCACTGCCTCTGAACCTTGCTGGAGCGTCAACAACTTGCATAAGTAGACGTTATGGCTACACTGTTTCCTGCCTGCACAACCCTGGGTGGGTAGTTTGTTAATCTTTCTATCTCTGCTTGTTGGAGGATGCCCTTGAGTTGCCCAGGACTTACAGCGACCCTCTGAACCACAGATGGGAACCACCCCTACCCTGCGCTGTCCTCCCCATCTCTGAGATTTACAGTTACAGGCACGGGGCCAAGTCACCTTCTTGAGGGTCTCTTTTTAAATGGAGCTAACAACACCTTCTAACTTCATTCATTGGCATGAAGGCAAATGAAGATATTTAAATTACATATAGAAGACCCTGGTGTAGGGTAGGGTCCCAGGCCACTTTCTATCAATCTCTTTAGTGATAAATTCAGGTCCACACTATTCTACTCAGACATCTTCCACTCAAAAGTCAGGCAGGGTTGATATGAGACAGGAAAACTATTTATGAAACAGCAAGCTGCTTTCACTTTATAAATAAATAAGACTAAGAAAAGGGGCGGGGGGAATCTAATTCTAGTGGCTTAAAAAAAATTAGGAATTGAGAATTTGAACAATTTGGTAATCGTTTCAAAAGAAGACCAGTATCGCATAAATTTCCAAAGAAAAGGAACCCTGAGAAAAGTGAAAATCACATCCTTCACCACCCTCAATCCCATTTAATCTACTAATTGGTTAATGTACTCTTTTGTTTTCCCTCCCACTATCTTTTTTTATACTATGAATCAAAATCTATTCTTTTTCACTCCTCATAAATGAGTTCTCAGTTTTAATGTGTCACAAGAAGTCCTAACACCGAAGTGAGAATTTATTGTGCCCTTCGTCACGTTAGGACGCTCTGGTGACGCAGCCTGCAGCAAGGTGCACTGCTAACTCCAAAAGGGGGCCTCTCTGGTGGGCCGCGTCCACCAGTGGCTGCCCAGGAGGAAGACAGGCAGCTCCGGACACTCAAGGGAGAGTCTGTTCTGAGTTTATTCCCCACTGTTAGAAATACAGGCTGCTGCCACTACTCTAAGGGACTCTGGGGTTAACATCGCAGCACACATGTGCCTGTGTCTTGGGCATCCAACCTTGAATCAGATACACAGCAGGGATTTAAGAACTGTCTTCAATGTCTGCCCTCGTGAACACAGCTTCGTCCACGTTCGGAAGGACCTCCTCAGTCTTCAATGCAGACTTTCTGGCTGTGAGTATTTCTATGGCTATTAAAGCTGTGTCGTCAAAAGCATTATGCCAATTTTCAGTGCCGCTGGTAACTACAGTCACTTCCTTTTGGAATTTTTCTGAAGGCTTGCTGCAGCCCCATGGAGACTTTCCTTATTGACAAGTCAACACTCCTGCGATTATGTTTCAATCCGCCAACTCCCCTTCTCACCCATCTCTATTCTCTGGAATCCACCAATAAAGTATTATTAATGCAGCCTGGGAATGCAAGAGCTTCTCTGGCGGTCACACCAGTTTAATTAGCTAAACTAGGTTTACAACTGCAGTGGCCACACCTCTTCCCAGTGATCTCTGCAGAGCTGTGTGTCCTCATCCTGCACCTGCATCCAGCCCTACCTGTAAACTACAGAGCAGAGCCACACCTGCTTGGCAGCAGTTGGCAGCAACTCCCTCAAGGCGCTTTGCCAAGTCTAGAACACTTCATGTCGCCGAGGCTAGAACGCTTCCACATCAGAACCCAGGGGAGGCAGCGGTACCTGACTGGCTGAGGCAGCTCCTGGGTCCGTGAGGAGAAATGGCAAGAACGAGCTGGGTAGACTTGAGTGCGGTGGCCTTTATACTGAGGTCCATAGTAAACAAACTTATTTCCAGCATGGACTGGTTCCATGAAATGCGAGGAGTCTTCGAAGTCATCTGACCTGGATACATCAGAAGCCCAATTCCTAAAAGAGAGCATTTGCACACAGTGTTATTAGTCTCCAGATTTCACAAAGTTTGTGGTTATATCTATTTCATCTATGAAAATGACCATCCTTTCTTCCCCAATTACTAGTACTACCGGCTCCCCAGAACATCATACAGGAATGCATGTCACATGCACAACTTAACCTGGATCAGAACAGACGTCCCACCTACAAATCACACTCAGAAAACACAGCACTTACCTTCTGATGGGGCCATTCTGCAGGTCTTCAATGTAATTCTTCCTTTCTATGCAATGCCCCCGGCACCTATTAAATACTGACAGGTGAAGGAATGGTTAGAAATACTTGTACAAACATGTATCTTTCCCAGAGAAAGCAAATAAGAGCTGAAATCCATTACTGAGGCTGTAACATACCAGTACTTGTATAAAGAGTCCTTTATAAAATTGTAACCCAAACAATTTTAACAAAAACAAATGACATATACCCCCCTCCCCACCAAATCTATGAAATGGACCTCAGCATACACCCTCAGCTGTTGCAGAAGGAGAAGTGACAGCCCTCGTACTTACGTTCAATTGCATCATCTGGCCTCATGCCTTCCATGTCAATCAAGTACCTAACAAAACAATAGCATTTGGGTCACTGAGAGATATATGCCAAAGGAAGTAAATGTTTTTCAAAAATGATCTAATTCTGCTTGCAAATATAGACATAAGTACCCAAGAAAATGCCACATAAATTCAGTGCTTGCTAAAGGATGATCTAGCATTAGCACTGTCACACACACACAGACCTGTTCTACGAATGGAAGGATAAGCCCAGCTTTAGGAAATTGGCTAACACAATTATTTACTTACATCACAGTCACAATTAATATATGGGGGAAAAATGCAGTATCAAACTGATAGATATTTTAAAGGTGTCTCATAAAATTCAATAGTAATTCTTGATTAAAATGTCTTGTAGAGTGAAAACAGGAAACGTCTTTAACAAGACGGTATTAGGAACATGACAAGCCAAAATAAATTGAGGGAACAGTACTATTAAAAATTACTGTCTAATCTAACCAACTGCCTGGGCTTATCACCTAGGAAGCACCAGCACCCTCAGCCATTGCTTCCTGCCCTCATTCCCAACTCATCACCAGTCCTGACGACAATCATCCCCGTTTCCCACCAAAATCACACCAGGTCTCCAATGGGAAAAACAATGTATACTAACTTTATAAACCAGTAAAAAATAAAAATTTCTTTAAAAAACAAAAATCACAGCAGGTCCACCACGACGGCTGTGCTTCAGCACAATCGTCCTGAATGGTCTTCCTGCTTCCGTGTGACCTCAAAAAGGAAAATACAGTCTCTACGCAGTAGCTAAGAGGAGAGGGTGCAAATAAAAATCTGACTATGTACCGCACACTCAACCTCAGGAAAAAGTGCAATGGTTTCCGAATGTTCCTAAGAGGAAACCCAAAATCGTAAAGGCAGCCCAGTGTAACCCACTCCTCCCCACCGTGCTGCTCCATGCTAAAGCCACCCTTTCTCCCAGCCTGGGCTCTCACAGCCAGGTCTCCTCCGGCTTCTCCAACACAGGACACACCTTCCTGTTATGGGGTCTCTGTCACTCCTCCCGGCTGTATTCTCTCAACATCCCTCCTCATCAGCGCCACCATCTCCAAGGAAACCTCCTCTAACCTTCCTGTGAAGGTAAACGATACCTCCTGTATGACATGCTTCTCCTTCGCATCAGTCGTTCCAGGTGCACCCTCTAAAGATATGCCCCTCTAGACTGTCAGGATTCACAAGTGCAGTGTGTGGCTCCTATCGTATCCTCTACACCAAGCATAAACCTAACGTCCACCTGCCTCCAGAGAACAGACCCTCCACACAAATTCTCTAAATGAAGAGGAATCAGTATAGTAAAATCACATCCACATGGTGTAAGTGGATGGGTCCTGGGCCCTGGGCATGCCAATGAGCAAAAACCAGAGTATATGCACTGAAGGGTGTTCATATAGAGATTTTTGTCTCTTCAATGTTTTACAATTTAAAAAAAAATCCTCTGACCTATCTGAATGTTCTTCAAAATATCAATGGGTAAAGCAGTCTTCACAAAGAATGAAGTTCTTGGATGGTTACGAGGGATGGGAAGCGGGGAGGAGCAGTGAGACTTACTCAACAGAGAAGGGGCTTCCGAAGATGGTGAAGGGGAGGCGTTACACACAGTAGATGATCAGACATGGGGGCACTGTATGTAACCTTACAAAACAAAATGCATGCCAACGCCTGGCTGAAAAACCAGTGTGCTCTGTCGATTTTCACTCAAACGACAGTGCGAGATACAAGCACAGAAACAGGGGCGCCACACACTAAGTTACACAGAAGAATGTCTGAACTTCCACCAGTAAATACATTACTGATGTAAATATATCTGCTTATTAAAAAATGTCTGAAAAGGCATGCACTAAACTGTTAATGGGGGAAGAAGAAAGTCTGCAACAAGGAACAAATAACAATAAATACTTAAAAAAATAAACTGTTAATGATGGTACTCAGTGGGGGGCAAAACAGCAAAGCACACTCACTTCTTTAGAGATTTCAATACTGACGGCATTTTTGCATCAAACTTACACTGTAATCAGACAAAACCAACTGGAAATCTCCTGCCTGTGGCACTGGGAACTCACCTGCAGATAAGGTAGCCAGTCCTGTTCAAACCATGCGTGCAGTGGACCCCAATAAGTTTGTCTGGAAACAGGAAACAGTCATGCATATACACGAAAACCAAACTGAACAATCTTCTAACGACTAACATTTAGTACTCAACACTGTGCTACTACGAGCCTGACAGGCGCAGCTCTGATGAGGAATGTGGGTTTAGGAACATATTCTAAAGAACTCTTTATTACGAGGGTAAAATTCATTTCCCCTCAGAAATTCTGTAGCTTCAATGTTATGAAGTGAAGAAAGCTGATGAGATATTAGCAACTAAAACTACTGAATGAGACAAACCCTATTTTTCTTAACATAAAACGTCCATCAGTAACTGGTTTGTGGTTTTTATAACATGGAAACATTTCATGAACTTGCATGTCATCCTTGTACGGGGCCATGCTAATCTTCTCTGTCTCGTTCCGATTTTAGTATATGTGCTACTGAAGCGAGCACATTAGTAACTGATTTAACACATTGCCGCACACTTTTAAATTGACGACTGTGCTTTAGAAACACATTTCTTACTCCCCCCCCATCCCCCCCGACGAATTATCGTCATCTGCGGCACCGTGTTAATAAAAGAAAAGAGCAGGCGGTCAAAATAAGGCTAAGAGAAAACTAACACTTGTTCCTCAAATAGTAATCCAATCAAGCAGTTTGTAGACTCCTGAGTTCCCAAGGCACTCCCATGTCCTCTCTCACCTCGTTACAAACCCCCTGGAGTACTCTGGGGGGACTGCACTGCTCTGTTAGTATTTCATAAAGAAAAAGTGAACAGGATTACAGACATCAACCCAAACACTACTGCAGGCAAGCAGAATCACGCCTAGAATCAAGTCCAAGACTTTCCCAGCTGGGCCACTGTGCCTGTCAGCCCATCATTAACATGTGTTGTGTATCACTATACATACACACTATCATACACACACACACAAGACAGTACATGGCATTCATGATCTTGCTTCCACCTTCCTCGTCCTGCTTCTACAGACCCTCATTCCCTCAGTTCACTCGGCCGGACATGTCTCCTGCACACACGTCAACCCCAGCCTGCCTCGGGCACTGCACACAAGCTGTTTCTGTCTTTGAACTTCTCTCTGGGATAACCAATGGCCAGTTTCTCACTTTAGGACTCTACTCAACCAGGATCCAGTGGCGCTCAGATGGCCTAGTGGTAAGAAGCTGCGCTGCAGTCCCAAAGGCTTGGGGTTCTAACCTACCAGCTGCTCCGTGAGAGAAAGATGGACAATTTACTGCTTCTCAATCCCTGCTGGAGAGTCAGAGACTCTACAGTACACAACAGCAACAACAACAAATAACATTTTACTCGACAGCCATTCACAGATTAGGGTTCCTAAGAGAACGTCTTACTAGATTACCCAGTGCTCCCTAACCCTTTCTCCTGCTTTACACTTTAAAGCATTTTCACTGTCTACCATCTAGTCTACTGTCATTACCTCCTTCCTCCAGCAGAATGTCAGATTCCTGAGGACAAAACAAGGCATGATCGTTCTGTGGAGCAATGGGCTTTTCTGTCAAAAATACCCTGCTCCTTCTGTCCCTTCAAAGAGCCCTGGCGGTGTAGTGTGGACCTCACTGTGCTGCTAACCAGCTGCCGTCCCCCAGCTGCTTTGAGGGAGGACGCAGGCTACTCCTTCTAGGAGAGATTCCCGGCCTCAGACACCTGACAGGGGCCCTAGGAGTCAGAGGCACTCGGCAGCTGCGGGCTGGGCTTTTGGGTTTGGTGTCTGCTACTTAGATGCCAGGAAATGAAGAAGCTACTAAGATCTATGTTTACAGAGGAAGGCCGATTAAAGGGAACAGGAGTGCATCAGCCTCTGCCTCAACCGTTCTCCATGAGGAGTAAGCAGGAACGGTGGGAACAAATGAAAACACAGCCAGAGTGATGAGCACAGGAGACCCACTGCTGGCTCTGCTTCTGCGTCGGAACCTGCCTCAGCCTACTGCTGTGTCTAAGACCCTGAGATCTTGGATCTTCTCCCCACCTCTCATCCCTTTCTTAACCAAGAAATAAAACAGAAGACTATTTTTATTCTACATTCTTGCAAACTTTTTCAATCGATGAGTGAGCTGGGTTCAGTTCCTCTCTCTCACACAAAGTACCTTCCAGCTGAAATGATTCACTTGTGACTATCAATAGCACCAACGCCTCAATCCATTAGGACCACGTGAGGTTCTCACCTTGACCTTGTCAAACACACAGGCCTGTGGTCAGAACAAGATCTCCAACCCAATTCAAATCATTTACCAAAATTCAATACTGAAGTCACCACCACCACCACCACCAATAACAACCCCACAAAAACAAACTCACCATTATTTTTATTTTCCTTCAAAAACCCATTAACAGCGCTTTTGAACTTAAAAATAGTGTCATCATCAGGTACCTGATGCCCAACTGTAAAAATTTTTAAGTAAGGAATAGTTTCTGGGAAATCCTAGAAAGAAAAACCATGAAAACATATATTATTTCATTTGTAAGGAAAGGTTAACTTAGAACTAGAATATAAACCAAGATACTGTAATAAACTTCGTAGGTTAGCAAATCTGACCAGTCATTTATGTTTCAAAGTTATGTCAATGAGGCAGTGTCACTTGACCGGCATTAGAACACAGGACATCTGCCACCTGAAAGCCAGGGACATGTGAATTAATCATTAATGTGACTCAAAATTATACAAATGGTTCCGCCTATTATTTTCTATTTCAGGGCCCTCGTGGAGGAGTTATGATTCAAATTCAAAATAGATTAGAAGACGACACACAAGACAGATAAAGGCTCAGATCTATTCACAGGGTCACCATGAGTCACAGGCGACCTGATGGCATCTAACAGTAAAACAGAGGGAGAAAACATCACATGGAATTTTGACAAGATGGTAAGTTCTAAGTACTCCCGAGAGCTCAGTTTGTTGGAATGAAGGAAAATAGACACAAGTATAAGCAGAAAAGCAGTAAATCCCCTCTAACCCTTTAGAGCTCTGGTGGCCTGCAGTCCTGAAAGCATAGAACTGGAGGGCAGCAGCTGCTCCATGGGAGAAGGAGGGGCAATCTCCTCCCGGACGATTAACTGCCTCTGAAAACCGGCTGGAGGATGAGCTGGGGGCAGATCCAACTCCACAGTAAACAACAACAGTCACACTGTGAGCTCTAAAAACCATTCCCACCTAAAGAAACCAAGGCTCCTTGGAGAAAGAGTCGCTATCAGGCTTAGGGGAGGAAATTGGACACAATGAGTCTAGATCAAGGATCAATTTTTTCATAGAAACAGAAAACCAAAGTGACCAAAGACTACTAAAAAGGTTTGTGTGTCAAAGAGACCTAGGAGCCAGGAGAGGTAGCAGAGGGCAAAACCAGGGCTCTGTGATCCCTACATGAATAATAACTCAGTGGACTGGCAAGGTCAAAATTCAGGGAATAATGCAGACATAAGTCATAATAATTAACTGTTGTTATTATAGTTAACTATAATGGATTGGAAAATGACATTTTAATGATATTAAAAAGAAATAAAAGTCTAAATGATTAACAGTAAAAATTAAAAATGTTAGTTGAACCAACTCACTGTTTTGAAAACTGTCAGATAAAGGGTAATGCTAATACTTTTCCAATATGAACTCTTTGCTGCTGTTACTACTCCCACTCACGATGGCTCCAGGGGTGCAGACCAGAACCACACACAAGGCCTTCGAGCCTGTGACTGATGGGAGGCACGCCACCAGGCCTGGCTGCTGCATGTCCCAGGCGGTGCCCACCTCCAAGCCTGGCTGCTGCCATGTTTCCAGGAGGGTGCCCACCTCCGGGCCTGGCTGCTGCATGTCCCAGGCGGGTGCCCACCTCCGGGCCTGGCTGCTGCATGTCCCAGGCAGGTGCCCACCTCCGGGCCTGGCTGCTGCATGTCCCAGGCAGGTGCCCACCTCCGGGCCTGGCTGCTGCCATGTTTCCAGGAGGGTGCCCACTTCTGGGCCTGGCTGCAGTGGACCTCCGGGTGGGTAAGAACCTTGACTTTCTGGTTGATATCTGGGCACCTAATCACCTGTGCTGCCCAGGGACCTACTTCAACTGGGCAAACAGCTGAAGATGAGAACAAACGCTTGTCTTTGTAGACCTATGCCCCTCAGCTAATAAGTGAGGTGGCGAAAATAAGTCATTTTTTTGGAGCCCCCAGTGAATGAGTGGATTTTTACATTCATCGGTGACTGTTAATATCACAAAGAGAAGCAGCCACACCTCACCTATCTCTCGACTTGCCCTACATCCATGAATCTCTCTTGAAGGCTTTGCACAAACAACATCGTAGTTGAAAGGCCTTAACTCCAAACTGGAACACTGACTAGTTATTTGAGAATATTAAAGAAACAATATTAAGGAATAAAAGTCCTACATTCTCAGTACACACATCAAAAATGTACAATGGAAAGACAGAATTCTCCTAAAAATAATACTGAATTTCGCTAAACAGTGTGGTGCACCTGATGAGAAGGTCTGAAGCTAGGGAATGAGTCAGTCATTGTCACTGGCATGTCTATTTTTATGTATGTTTAAAACTTGAGATAATTGTGTGTTTTTTCTTTTTAAAAAAACACACTTGTGTTCAAGTTGCACTTCTTCCTTTTCTGAGTTGCAGACTTATCTTCCATAAAATTACCAGTTCCAACAGCACGTCCTGTGAGCTGAGTAGTCTTCCTGGCTGAGAGGCGGTAACACGGCTGCTGAGTCAGCACAGGGCTGCGCGAAGGCGTGGCCAATTTAATGCCAGTGAAAGCACTTTTAAAAAGCCAAACTGCTCCCAAACACAGCTGGCCCTTGAACACCATGGGCTGAGACTCTGAGGGCCCGCTTATAGACAGGTTCTGTTTCCTGCTGTTCCTGTGGTGAGCACAGTGGTCTGGAGATGGTCAGCACAATATAGTTGTTGTTGTTGTTATGTGCCATAGAGTCACCTGTTACTCATAGCAACCCTATGTACAACAGCCCTAAACCCTCCTCTATCCTGTGCCAATCTCACTGTCTCTGACACATCTACTCCCATTACCACAGTCACTGAATCGATCCATCACATCCAGGGTCTTCCTCTCCTGCGCTGTCCCTCCACCCTCCCAAGCTTGATGTCCCTCTCCAAGGACTGGTCCCTCCTTGTAGCATGTCCAAATTATGTCAGACGAAGCTTCAGAATCCTTGACTCCAAGGAGCAGCCTGGCTTCACTCTCTCCAGGACGAACCTGTTCATTCTCTTAGTTGTCCATGGTATATTCAATACTCTTCCCCAAAATCATAGTTCAAAGGCATCAGTTCTCCTCCATCATGCCCTTACCCAAACACTCCCAGCACTCTAACCTGTGTTGTTCAAGGGTCAACTGTAATTTACACTTGCATTCTCTTTGTCTATGGAAGTCAGCACCCCTCTCTGCTTTGATCAAGAGTCAAGGGTCAACTTGTGTTTGCAATTGCAAGGTCACGGAACTGATCTGAAGAATAACTCTTTGCCAATGTGATATATCACCCCATACAAGGCACAAACAAAACCTAACAGGTCTCTGTACTAAACCAGAAGACAGATAAGAAAGCATCAACCAAAAGTCTTTACACGTTTTGGCAACTATTTAAAAGAAAATAATGCTGATGATTAATTAATACTTTTTTCCCAGGCTAGTGCTATTCTTACTAACATTTCATTAATTTTCAAAGTAAAGGCTATGGAAGCTTCCAGAATATCTCAAGCATACACAGACCCTATGCTAACCCAAAGGCCTGTCCCTCTGGCGGTTCCAAGACACCAGCAGCTCTCAGGGAGAAAGATGAGCAATCTCTTTGATGTGATTTACAGTCTTGGAAACATAATGGAAGGTCTGCAATGAGTCCACTGCAACTCAATGGCAAATTTCCCCCCTAAAAAATATTCTAGTTCAATTCTTTTTTTTTTAATTTTTGTTTGTTTTTTTATTTTTTTAAATTTTTTTTATTTTTTCTAGTTCAATACTTATCTTTAGCCTTATTGTGAATTAGAAATACGCCAATAATTAACTTTCTGAACTACTAAACATGAAAGGCAGTGACTCTCACATTAGCAAACAATGAGATCTACTGGATTATGAATTATTACAATATCAGAATGTAGGTTTACTTTCAAGAACATTAACTATTTTATCTACCTCTTGGACTAAGATTAGGATTAAGGACTAAGGATTCCATTTACCTCTTGGTTATAATAACGTTGTGTATACGTTAAATCAATAATCAGTCCGAGTTCTTCATTTTGTTCTTGGACTTTGTTAAAAAGATCCAGAGGAGAAAAACATTCTTCTGGTGAAAGACTCCCTTCAAAACTCT